CTCTGAGTGCTAAGAGCTAACGGCTGTGTTGTTTTTCTGGGGCTCTCATTGAAGATGACGTCACGGCTCCGCCTACACTGCGTTACTATAGTAACTGCCCCAGTTCCTAAACTGTAATGGAAGCGCAGCATTAAAGTGAGCCGGGCCTAATAAGGCCTAACCAAACCGAGCGAGGCCTGCAGTGGAAACGCGCCATAAGCAGTGGGGGAGTTTTATACACTAAAGGTGTGAAAATTCTCTCGCGTTATAATATCAGCGCGGCCGCGGTCAGATCAAAATGCATCCGAATGCAATTTTGAATAGACCTACAGCCAATCAGAGCAACGAAACGTTGGGTCTGCTGCGTCATGCATTACTGATTCACGTTCACAGTGAAAAGTCCCCAAACTCGCGCCGAGTAAATTGCAGACAGACAGCAGAACTTCTAGGATTAATTGTATATTTCGGATGGATAGATTTGTTCTTAAACGCCCTCGCATTGAGGTACAACAAGTCGAACAGGCGCTTTAATGCGACCCTACAAGGATGGCTTTACGGATGTACACAGACTCATATGCAGTGGCGGCGCCAGGGTATGGCTGGTGTAGGCTACAGCCATACCAAGAAATGGCTTAGCCCTACCTTAGCCCGACCATGAACAATTATGTTAAAGTAGGCATGTTGAGAACACGGATTGCGAAAATCTACCGGTCGTCTCCACAACACACAAACTGATCCTGCTGTAACAACAAGTGCACGTTACTGACGCAATATGGTTGAGACCATTCGGGCTTATGCTAGAGGGGTGCAAGGAATAGTCTAAGTAGTGGGGGAGTTTTATACACTAAAGGTGTGAAAATTCTCTGGCATTATAATATCAGCGCGCGGCCGCGGTCAGATCAAAATGCCTCCGAATGAATAGACCTACAGCCAATCAGAGCAACGAAACGTTGGGTCTGCATGCATTACTGATACGTCGATACGTCACGTTCACAGTGAAAAGTCCCCAAAACTCGCACCGAGTAAATTGCAGCAGACATCATCAGCAGAACTTCTAGGATTAATTGTATATTTCGGATGGATATATTTGTTCTTAAACGCCCTCGCATTGAGGTACAAGTCGAACAGGTGCCAGAGTCACACGACCCACCTGAAGAGTGAATAGTGAGTTTTGAATATATTTGTAATAGTCATTTGTGTTAAATGAGTGTCAAGTGTTTTGTATGACAATAGAGACACAGGCCACCTGTTGTGTGCTGTGACAGTCTCTCTTGTTTACCTGTGTATGTGTCTCTCTCTCTCTCTCTCTCTCTCTCTCTCTCTCTCTCTCTCTCTCTCTCTCCCTCCCTCTCCGTGTCAATTATATATGCCAACTTTTCCTGTTTCTGCCGCTGCGTAGCATGTTGTAACAACGTGGAATTAGCAGAATAGGCTATTGTATTGTTTAACTCACACCTGTTGCTCTCGATGTAATTTAGCTGATAAAAGGAGACTAATAAAAGCTAATAAAAGCCTCACGCTTGGCGTTTCACTGTCAAGGGGGGAAGATATAGCGTGTATGTAATTACATTACAAATACTGACTTGAGCCCCACCACTGTATGGGTTAGCCCTACCATAGATTACCCAACAAAAATACTCTGGCGCCGCCACTGCTCATATGCATCTCCCTGACTCTGCGCTCTGCTGGCGGCGAACGCAGCTTCTCCTGTCTCCGTCGCATCAAGAATTATCTAAGAAACAGCAGTGGTGATGCACGGAACAGCAACCTGGGCCTGCTGGCTAATGGCTATCAATAAGCAGAGGAGTAAAGCACTGGCTGTCCAGCGTGTCATTGACATTTTCGCTTCCAACCACAACAACCGGCGGATCGTGCTGCTTTGAGAACGTCAATAGTGAGTTTTGAATATATTTTGTAATAATGGGTTATTTGAAAAAGTGGCCACCTGTTGTGTGCTGTGTCTGTCTCTCTCTGTTTACCTGTGTCTGTGTCTCTCTCTCTGTCACTCCCTCCCTCTCTCCCTCTCCGTGTCAATTCTATATGCCAACTTTTCTTGTTTCTGCCGCTGCGTCGCATGCTGTAACAACGTGGAATTAGCAGAATAGGCTATTGTATTGTTTAACTCACACCTGTTGCTCTCGATGTAATTTAGCTGATAAAAGCTAATAAAAGCCTCACGCGTGGCGTTTCACTGTCAATGGGTGCGATCGTGCGATATAGCGTGTATGTAATATTACATTAGGCTACAAATACTGACTTGAGCCCCACCACTGTATGGGTTAGCCCTACCATAGACTACCCAACAACAATACTCTGGCGCCGCCACTGGCAGTGTGTCTTCCACATAGTGATGGTAAGTCACATAGTGCATAATATTCTCAATTCTTAACTAAGCCATGGCACAGGGAACAACATGTAGAATAACGAACACGGATGCATGAACCTTTTTGATCAGACACAAGAGGTACAGATAAAAGAGTTTGTACAGCATTGGATTCTCTTCAATCTCAAGAGGTACAACCTTTAAACTCTTTGATAACTATTGGAAGGCATTTTGGTGACAATTAAAACTAAATATATAAAATTGTCAAAATTATCGCGTTAACGGCGGTAATTAATTTTTTGAATTAATTGCGTTAAAATATTTAACGCATGTGCAGAATGGCCCGCCCCATACATCCCAACAGTGGCAGCACCAGGGTATGGCTGGGGTAGGCTACACCCATACCAAGAAATGGCTTAGCCCCACCATGAAAAATGATGTTAAAGTAAGCAAAATAAAGTCCGCCAACTCTCGCCGAGAATTGCACAGACAGCAGTTGGTCAAATTGATTTCAGTAGCCACTTGTCTGGAAATACCGAAGACCAGAAACGGTTTTGAAAACTTTTGTCACGTAGTGATCGTCTTCTCAATAGAACATCTTTGATAATGTCTTCTGGCCAATCAGAATCAAGATAAGCGGCGTGGTGTTGTTGCAGGAAGTCCCGACGGAGAATACTTTTGCTGTAGTACAGGGATGCACTAACTGGTACACAGGTTATGTGCGTAATCTGAAATGCGTAATCTGAAATGCGTACTGTCTGTCACTTGTGTCTCAAAGCGCATTTGCGTATGTACGTACTTGTGAAGCTTTTCCAGAAGGCGGTTAGATCACCGGACGAAAGAGTCGGTCTCCGTGTGCACAGACAGGGCTGCTGTTAACGTCGGTCTGTACAACGGAATTGTGCCAACACTACCCCAACCGGCAGCGGAGGGAGACTCCTCCCCTTCACTGGAGAACTGCGCTAAAACAGCTGATCAAAACGTTCACACTCTGTGGTCACGAAGTACTCCACTAGCGCCCCCCCGTCGACTTTCCTGAAGTACTCCCCCGTTGATAGAAATCAACACGTAATTAATTAAGACCCCACGGTTTGATGATTGATAGGTGTGTGGGCTGTCTTTCATTTTCACACGCAGAAAAATGTTATAATAAACATACATACTGTACACAGTTAAATGGATATATCCGCCTTCTTTCATTTATCTTTCCATTCCCACAACAATATACATAAAGAAATGGCATATTTTGGACATAGTTCGAATGGTGATTAATCTGATTAATTAATTTTTAAACTGTGATTAATCTGATTAAAAATGTTAATTGTTTGACAGCCCTAATATATATATATAAAATGCCACCCTCCAGGCCTATAAGATCAAACCCTGCAGCATCTTATCTCTCTTGCTCTCAACTTTCTGGCTGTCTCCATTCAGGAGGTAAAACTTTTTTTTTCTTTGAGATGGAAAACTACTGCTCAAGGCTTTTGAAGTGCACTCAAGATTAATTTAAACTGGAACAAGAAATTCTATTGCTGTAGGCGGCAGTTTGTGACATAGAGCAGTTTTTCCCTGACAATAAATATTCATATATTTTCCTTACAGGCACCTTAGAGCAGGGGTGGGAAACCTCCGGCCCCCGGGCCGTATACGGCCCGCGAGACCATTTGGTGTGGCCCTCGAGGTAATTTATAAACACACGCAAAAAGTTAAAGAAATCTAGACCGCAAAATAATTAAACAAGTGAGTGCCTGTTTTTCCTGGCCAAGGTCAGGGTCCTTGAACACAACACAAGCCTAACGTGTCATCACCATGTTCACCTGGTATATGTGTCGTCTGACAGGGGTGTAGTTCTGGGAGCACCAGAACGCACTCCGCTCCGGCACTTCCAAAAATTGCAGTACCCTAAGGAGCCGTACACATGCTGCATTTTTGCGTGGCTGTGTCTTTAGTTGAAAGCCCAGTGGCGATCTGTCATACTGATCATACAGTCAATAACTTTGTTGTATTAGCATCTGGTTAGCTAGCTATGCTAACGAATATAAGAAGCTTTTTCTACAACCAGTAAAGGCACATCTTTATATGATCATTATAGTTATAAAAAAATAAGAGAATAAATTAAACAGGTATAAAATACTATATGACAGTAAAAAAGTTGTTATAATAAACAAGAATACAGTTTGAAAGGAGAGTGATTTGTAAAATATCCATAAAGAAAAATAAAATCTGCTTAAAGTTATGTTTCATCTGGATGTTGAGAGATGTATCCATAGATCTAATGTTGCTCTCAAAGTGCACCAGATTGATGCTTTTAACTTCAACATTTAAAAACAAATCTTCCGGGGGAGCATGCCCCGGACCCCCTAGAGGAGGTTAGGTCCCCCCACTTAAATCATGTTCACATGGATAGGAAACTAAATACATTTGCACACATCTTGTGTCCATATCTTTCTGTTTTGGTGGTCATGCCACAACTGTGCACGTGCATGCATGCGCGAGTCATGGTTAAAATATCTGGATTGAGAGGTTGCTTTTCTTTGCACAGCATGAAAGAAAGGTGAAATGAGTGGGCTGTGATTTTAGTATTTTTAAGCAGAGGTCAATAATTTGTACGGCCCTCGGAGGATGTTGAAAACATTGAAATGGCCCTTGAGAGGAAAAAGGTTCCCCACCCCTGCCTTAGAGGGACACATTTCAACGTTTAATAACAGAGTTTGGTGACGCTGCTGTTTGCTGCTTGTGTGCAGTTGGACAATGATGCGATTGACTCTTAATAAATATGACATAATCATTTCAAATTTGTTCTAGCTTCTGTTTGGAATATAATATATTGACACCATTTCCAAGTGTAAATCTGTACGGCTGGCGTGGATTGGTTGTGTGTTGTGTGCTGCTGGTGTCTATGTGTAGGTGCCACTTACCTTGTACAATGAGGTAGACCTGTGAAGTCTTGGGCTGCTGCTTCGTCTGTATGGAGCAGGTGTACGACCCCTCATCATAAACATCCACCTATACACAATCACAAATACAATATTGTTTTCATTAGTTTGAAAATATCTTATCATATGCCTGGCAGAGCATCTTATCCTCATTTATCTTCCTACATGTTACTTTTTCAAGATCCTACTCTATAATTTTATTTTGACAAACATTCACAATATTCTCGAAATAAATATTTATGATTCTTCAGTGAAACAACGTTATACAGGAAAGTAGTCGAATTATCTCAATCAACTTTACAATATAATATGTTTTGATTATTATTAATTAATTCAACTTTAAGAAGTCAAAGCTTATAGACATGAGTAATGAATGATCATCATTACATAACAGATACAATCAGAATTTCAGCAGACCTCCCAGCATGGACAGTTTAGATGAGGTACTTAACCCTTTATGAAAACATGTATTTTTTTAATAAGACTTGCTGAACTGATAATCAATGAAAACGATAACTTTAACATTCTGGGAGGATAATCTAATTTACTGTCTAGCAGAGGGTGCATACTGATACCAGTCTAACATTAGTTTATTTTCAAATGATTATTTATTGTTGTTAAAGCACAAAAAAGGGTTAAAATTAATAGATGAACATACAAAAAACAGATATGCTTATGAAGGTTATGTTTAATAATTTTTAAATGTAATCCTAAGGAGGAGAAACAAATGGTTCTTTCCCATCTTTAAATGCAGCTGTTATTAAATCTAACGATGAAATCAAAGAATAAAAAAAACAAAAACATTTTGGTCCGGTTTCTAGGTCAGTGTTACCTTCTGTATGCGCAGGCTGTACTCGAGCTGTCCTTTAGTCACCAGATCTACTCTGGGGTCCAGAGACCACTTGTCCTGGCCGGCATAGATGATGTTGGATCGATTGAGCCAGGCCACTTTGGACACTTTGTCATCCACATAACACCTGCAGGAACAAGAAGAACAAGTAGTGTTAAGGGAAGTTAAGTGAAATAAAAGCCGGGTTTACTTAAAAAAAGAAAGAAAATTACGTGACATCCTTCATTTCATAATATGTAAACTCAAAATCAAAGAGGATGTATAATTGTGTAGGAACTTATCTGCATCACAGTTCAGCTATGTTGTGGTTTAAACTGCTAGTGTATTCCCTCAGTTAAGGTTAGTTAAGGTTTACAGACAACTTGGCGCACCTCTCATTCAGAGGTCTCAAAACAAGAGCTATGTCTTAACCTGTGTCTCTCTTCCTTCTTTCTCTCTCTGATAAATACATCTCCTTTAACAGTCAGCATATTCCTGTGGATGAGGAAGGACACCAGTATGCTGTTGTTTACTCCTTGTTGCAGACAGTCGGAACATTACTCCAAGAAAGCTCGAGCTAAGACAACTCGCACAGGAGGCATGGTAGCCGGGCGTCTGCCTAATGAATACATGTAAATGTGAGAAGACGTCGGAATCAATGAGAAGGGATATCAGCCGTAATGCTAGCCGACAGTGGATGCGCCTCACATGCAAATTCTGGTGACTCCGGTAGACCAGGCTGTGCACATGGCTGTGGAGTGTGTTGGGCCACAATGGAGCAGATTTGGGAGGAGAGGAGTGAGGCTGTCTTTGGCAGGTGACCCCGGGTGATGCACACAAGTGGTGGTGCAGTCACCCCTGCCTGTTACCCAGTGGGAGCTGGATGTCAGGTTTGTTGAAGGCTTGTACTCACAGCTTGAATCCCTGTTGATGATCCTTCCCTTTGTGTGGAGCCCAGATAACTCACTGTATTTATTGACTCGCTTTGACACTCTACTTTCTTCCCTCAGAAGTGAACAGCTTTAAAGGGATTTCCCTTTGGTTTCAGATATCTTCAAAGCTTTAATTAAAATACTTTATAGTTATATGCATCCTAATCTTATGCAGACACATTTTCCTATATTGATGGAGAGCTAGTCTTTATGAACAACAATAAAATAACGATAACAGTTTGGACTCCAATGGACACATCGGAAATACTAAAATGGAGCCTGACTTACATTTTTTAAATCTTAGATTCAACCTCTGCAAATCACCCATGAAGGGTAGGCCCCTTTGGTGTAATCCAGAATGTGTCCTTGTATTCAAGTCAAAACATCGCTGCTTTTAAAGAAACAAACAACATATTTTTACCAACATTGAAAATGAGTACAAATATACACAGAACATGATGCAAATTGTCCTGCTAGATTCACAGGGACCTGAAGGAGAGCGGAACTTTGCCAGGCTTCCATTTGTTAATATTTATTTTGGATTCAACACCATGTAGCCTGTCATCCTCGCCAACAAACTGGTCACTCAAACACACTGAAAACCAACACAAGCTCACTACAAGGGTGTTTTCCTATCCCTCCTCCTGTTCATGCTCTGATGGTGACTGTGAAAGCATCCATCCAAACTGCCAACTCATTAAATGTGCTGACTACACAGCGCTTCTCTCAGGCTCTGAGCAGGAACACGGTTCTTCTCTATGATTTTAACGTTAAATGGTGCAACAATACAATGCTGGATTTCAATTTCACTCAGAGGTGGTTGGTGGTTGATTTCAGGATGCAGTCCAGACAAGGAGTTGGATGGTGTGAATATCTTGGAATCATCTTTGACATTTGAGCAAAACACAGAAGCCTTATCAAGAAAGCAAACCTGCATCCACATGCTTTCAAGAACTGAATTCCAAAAACCCTTCTACAGTTCTTCAGCGAGTACATTCCGTGTTTCTCCTTCACATGTTGGTTGCCATCACTCACTGTCATAACCAGAAACCGTCTCCATACCACAATTAACACCTGTTCCTAAAACTGGAGTGCACATTACGAAGCCTCATTACTAGCTACCACTGCGTGTGCCTCGCATGTTTTAATGTTGTGAGACTATGTGTGTCATCACAGCGTTAATTTGGCTCTCTGTTGAAAGATGCTGTCACCTCAACAGCGCGCAAGATTCACAGTCACGGAACTTAACAGGTTTGTAGTTCAGATCAAAATGTGGAGCCAGTGCAAAGGTGAGCATGGCAGTGGTGCATATAAGTAAACGGAAAGGTAATGAGGAAAGGACCTACAATTTATGCCATGGCCTGAATTGGTATTGCGGGTGGCCTCTAGGTCTGTGAGCAGCAGGGAAAACCATGACATCATGTAGGATAACACCCATCATCTCCACCCACAGATCCAGATGCCTTCTTTCGTGGTGTAGCCTACGCAGTTTCTCTAGAAATGGGCACAGAGCTCTGTTCATTCCATAAGACCTCCGCTGGACTAAGGATCTCAAGAACAATAATTAGCTCTATCTGGATCTGCCATGTAGTCTTTTCCCCTACTTATTATTTAATTTATCATTATTCTTTTTAATAACGACCTACTTACTTTTTAAATATAACTGTACTATCAGCTCAACACTGTTCCATACAGCTATTTGCTTATAATTGTTCTATTAACATCAAGCCTAAAATGGGTTCGCTTTCTTGGATTTATGATCGTTATTGGATACGGGTGAATTGGGAAGAGCCAGATGACAGAAATGTATTCAGTCCAGCTCTATGACACTGTCCCCTGCAGTGTGGGAACAAGGGGTCAAACATTGCATTTGTATACACTTTCCCTCTAAACCAGTGTTTGCATCTTTTCTTTATTGTAATGATCCCTCTTGTACTAAAAGGGTTTTAACATTACCAGATTGTTTGTTATATAATTGTACGATTGAAGCTGTTTTTTAAATTTAGATTCATAACAAATCAATTGCTCACTTTGTGTAAAAGTTCTAATGCTGGGATTGATCATTCCACAACTCATTAGCGACAAAGCCCTACATTTGTGAAACACAAAGTGACAAGTTTAACAGCTTTTAGGGGGATGGCGGTCAATCACTAACTGTCCAGGCTGACTGTACGGCTGCATCTTGTTGGTTTTTCAATGAGCTCGCTTCCTTTCTCCCCTTATTATCTCCTGTCTCCCACCGTGAAGTAAATGGGAGGAGGTTAAAAAACGAAAGCACGTAAGTGAAGGACAGAGAGAGGAGACGTGAACAGAATCATGACACCAGTTCCTTTGGTTGTCTCTTTCACAAACATACATTATACTTAATAAAGCATTTTGATACGTTTACATTTCTTAATATTATGTATTAAACAGAATTGCGTTGCTAGGCAACAGCATGGGTCCATTCTTACTTCCTGTCAGCTGATGCATTCGCTGAACATCAGCACAATGGAACCTTCAGATTGATGACATCATCTTGGCCTTGATGCTGTTAGAAGTTTGCAGGTCTCAGCTGTGACGGTGAATTCATCAGAGCGTCAGAGCATCAGTCAGAAGGCAGAAGGAACTGTTCCAGCTAGTGTCAGATCATTGCAGAAATAGGCTTTTGTAGCAAGCTAACATTAGGTAGACTTGCACGTCTATTTTAACGAGATAATCTAAGTGAACTCCATTTTTGTGGCTTTAATTCAGTTGAACAATTATATTCAGTTTGCTTAACAACAGGTCATTTCATCACCGCAGTAGAGATGGAGATGAACAATAGAGATGAGATGGAAGTCAAGCTCGAGATTCTGCAAAAAGAAAATCAGGAAATCAAGTTGTTGCTGGAGCAGGAAAGGACTTTAAGGAATAAGCTTGAGATTGAAGGCGCTAGAAGAAGGAAGCGATGCTGAAAGCATATACAGAGAATGCAGCTGAGCTATCTGGGCAAAATGTGAACGTGAAAGCCCAGGAAATTGAGCACAACGTCTTGCGCGTCAACAATGAGGACCTGAACATGAAATACGGAATGCTCCAGAGGTCACACAAGAAGGTCGAAGCAGAGATGGCTGCCTTGAGAAAGGCAAACGCGGACTCAAACAACTGAAAGAACCCTGTGTTGAGGAGAACGCTGTAGAGATAGCTGCTTTGCGAGAGAAACCAGGAACTCCAACAACAGAAGGAGCGTGTCTTGAGGAGAAATCTGTAGAGATAGCTGCTTTGTGTGAGAGAAACCAGGAACTCCAACAACAGAAGGAGCATTGTCTGAGGAGAAGAAAATCTGTAGAGAAGCTGCTTTGCGTGAGAGATAAACCAGGAACTCCAACAACAGAAGGAGCGTTGTCTTGAGGAGGAAATCTGTAGAGATAGCTGCTTGCGTGAGAGAAACCAGGAACTCCAACAACAGAAGGAGCGTTGTCTTGAGGAGAAATCTGTAGAGAGATAGCTTGCTTTGGTGAGAGAAACCAGGAACTCCAACAACAGAAGGCGCGTTGTCTGAGGAGAAATCTGTAGAGATAGCTGCTTTGTGTGAGAGAAACCACGAACTCCATTTACAAAGGAACGTTATGTTGAGGAGAAGGATGCAGAGATAGCTGCTTGGCTGAAGGAAAACCAAACACTGAAACAAAGAGAAGGAGCATTGTGTGGAGAAGGAGGCGAAGGTGGACAAGAAGGAAATGAGAGTGAAGGTGGAACCAGAAGTGAGGCACAATGTTAAAATGAATGCCCTGAAAATTGAAGCAGAAAGTTTTGCGCGGAAACTATGAGGAACTGAACATGAAATATGAAAAGCTCCTCAAGATGCATCATAATGACAAAGCAGAGGATCTCAAACAACTGGAAGAACCCTGTGTTGAGGAGAAGGGATGCAGAGATGGCTGCCTTGCAAAAGACAAACCAGGAACTCAAACAAGAGAAGTTGCGTTGTGTTGAGGTGAAAAATGCAGAGATAGTAGTTTTGCATGAGAGAAACCACGAAACTGGAAGAACAGAAGGAACGCTTTGTTGAGGAGAAGGATTCAGAGATAGTCACTTGCATGAGAGAACCACGAACTGGAAGAACAGAAGGAACGTTTTGTTGAGGAGAAGGATTCAGAGATAGTCACTTTGCATGAGAGAAACCACGAACTGGAACAACAGAAGGAACGCTTTGTTGAGGAGAAGGATGCAGAGATAGTCCACTTTGCATGAGAGAAACCACGAACTGGAAGAACAGAAGGAACGCTTTGTTGAGGAGAAGGATTCAGAGATAGCTCACTTTGCATGAGAGAAACCACGACCTGGAAGAACAGAAGGAACGCTTTGTTGAGGAGAAGGATTCAGAGATAGTCACTTTGCCATGAGAGAAACCACGAACTGGAACAACAGAAGGAACGTTTGTGGAGGAGAAGGATGCAGAGATAGTCCACTTTGCATGAGAGAAATCACGAACTGGAAGAACAGAAGGAACGCTTTTGTTGAGGAGAAGGATTCAGAGATAGTCACTTTGCATGAGAGAAACCACGAACTGGACAACAGAAGGAACGCATTTTGTTGAGAAGGATTCAGAGGATAATGACTTTGCTTGAGAGAATCCGTGAACTCCAACAAGTGAAAGAACGTTGTGTTTCAGGAGATAGCCGCCTTGAAACACCATGGTGGAGAAGATTCATTAATTTCCTTTCTAGTATCGTCCCAGATGTCCCCGACGACTACCAAGAAGGCAGCCTTGACAATGAAACTTTAGAAAAATATGATAAACAACAACAGATTTTAGTAAGACATAAAAACATTTCCAGAACAGACTAAAGCTCAAAATGAGTGAGCAATAAC